AGCGGTCATCTTCAGACAGTCCTGTACGGCAAGTTGGGACGCGTCAACACCCCAATACCCTGCGGGGTCCGCAAGTTTCTCCCAATGCAGGATGGAGCCACAGCGACCTTTGACCTCTTTGAACCATTGGGAGACCACAGCACAGGAGGTCAGGGGCCAATACCAGCCTCTCTGGTCAAGCACCAAAGCAGCTGGCTTTGGATTTACTCTGTTCACAACTACCAATCATAGCTTTAAATCTCTTTTTGATAAAGACATCACTGATGATTGTTTTATTAAGTTGTTATTTTTTGCTATATGTGCTTGTTGGGATCGGGAGTGCATTAGTCTCATGTAACAAGCAGCTCATACTACAGTATGCACAAGCAGGAAAAGTACTAATGAACTCCCTCGAGGGAAAACGCCATGCATTTCAGCAGCCAATTAAATCAAACCACCCACAACATCCACTTTTACTCCCACACACATCTCCACTTAGTATGTTTGTGAATGTTTTCCCTGTTGTTTGTCTGTTTGTGTGTCAGATGACATTACCATGGTAATCTGCCCTGGGATTGGTAACCATAGCGAGAAGAGCTACATTCGGACCTTTGTGGATCACTCCCAGCGGCAGGGCTACCGCTGTGCTGTCCTCAACCATCTCGGAGCCCTGCCCAACGTGGAGCTCACCTCACCACGCATGTTCACCTACGGTAAAGAGGGAATACATGGTGGTCGGTGACTCAGAAAGAAGAACTTGATCATGTTGGTTCATTAAATTGGTGCTGCCTAACTACACAAGAAGCAAGGGCTTGTAGAGAAACATCATGCTTTGATAATGTGTCGTCTTGTGAAGTTTGACCATTTGACAAATCTGATTCCAGAGAAACAGGAGGAGAACTGACACTAGGGAAACCGTTGCAACATGGAAACACAGCTTTATGTCTTTTGTCTAGAAAAAAATTAATGGGGAAATATAGAGAATCTTAATTGCAAGAAGACAGTGTTATTGTTAAAATTAAAAGTTTTTATAAAAAGATTTAGCTGCCTTATTTAATAGCATACCTAAATGTTTACAGTGCTCTAGACAGTTGTGTTTTGTTTTTATTCAGGTTGTACCTGGGAGTTTGCAGCCATGGTGAACTACATCAAACAAGCTTGTCCCCAGACTCTGCTGGTGGTTGTGGGCTTCAGTCTGGGGGGGAACATCGTCTGCAAGTACCTGGGTGAGAACTGTCAAAACCAGGACCGAGTGCTGTGCTGCATCAGTGTCTGTCAGGGCTACAGCGCACTCAGGTTGGTAGACTGAAGGACAAGCAAATGATCACAACCATGAGTGGATATGATTGAAAGTCCAGATACAGTAAGAACCCTGTTCACTTCAGTTTCAGCTCCAGTTCTGGTCAAAACTTTGTTGGCTGAATGAATATGCTTTATGTCATCATAAACCACTTTAAAAAAGTTGGAGTATCTTTAAAGTGAGAAGATAAAGAAATGGTGTGATAGTAATATTCTATCTATGAATATGGATAAAACTAAATTTATGGTATTTGGGAATCGTAGACTAGATAACGAACTGCAAGTGAAAATAGGGGGAGCTAATATAGAACGAGTATATGAAATTAAATTTCTAGGTGTCATAGTTGATAAATTCACCTGGAAATCTCATATCAGATATATTCAGCATAAAATAGCAAAAAACATATCGATATTGGCAAGGGTTAGATATATTTTGGACGGGAAAGCACTACGCATTTTGTATTCTTCACTGATTTTACCATACTTAGAGTATGGCGTTGAAAACTGGGGAAATACATACAGTGCCTTGCGAAAGTATTCGGCCCCCTTGAACTTTGCGACCTTTTGCCACATTTCAGGCTTCAAACATAAAGATATAAAACTGTAATTTTTTGTGAAGAATCAACAACAAGTGGGACACAATCATGAAGTGGAACGAAATTTATTGGATATTTCAAACTTTTTTAACAAATAAAAAACTGAAAAATTGGGCGTGCAAAATTATTCAGCCCCCTTAAGTTAATACTTGGTAGCGCCACCTTTTGCTGCGATTACAGCTGTAAGTCACTTGGGGTATGTCTCTATCAGTTTTGCACATCGAGAGACTGAAATTTTTGCCCATGCCTCCTTGCAAAACAGCTCGAGCTCAGTGAGGTTGGATGGAGAGCATTTGTGAACAGCAGTTTTCAGTTCTTTCCACAGATTCTCGAGTGGATTCAGGTCTGGACTTTGACTTGGCCATTCTAACACCTGGATATGTTTATTTGTGAACCATTCCATTGTAGATTTTGCTTTATGTTTTGGATCATTGTCTTGTTGGAAGACAAATCTCCATCCCAGTCTCAGGTCTTTTGCAGACTCCATCAGGTTTCCTTCCAAAATGGTCCTGTATTTGGCTCCATCCATCTTCCCATCAATTTTAACCATCTTCCCTGTCCCTGCTGAAGAAAAGCAGGCCCAAACCATGATGCTGCCACCACCATGTTTGACAATGGGGATGGTGTGTTCAGGGTGATGAGCTGTGTTGCTTTTACGCCAAACATAACGTTTTGCATTGTTGCCAAAAAGTTCGATTTTGGTTTCATCTGACCAGAGCACCTTCTTCCACATGTTTGGTGCGTCTCCCAGGTGGCTTGTGGCAAACTTTAAACGACACTTTTTATGGATATCTTTAAGAAATGGCTTTCTTCTTGCCACTCTTCCATAAAGGCCAGATTTGTGCAGTATACGACTGATTGTTGTCCTATGGACAGAGTCTCCCACCTCAGCTGTAGATCTCTGCAGTTCATCCAGAGTGATCATGGGCCTCTTGGCTGCATCTCTGATCAGTCTTCTCCTTGTATGAGCTGAAAGTTTAGAGGGACGGCCAGGTCTTGGTAGATTTGCAGTGGTCTGATACTCCTTCCATTTCAATATTATCACTTGCACAGTGCTCCTTGAGATGTTTAAAGCTTGGGAAATCTTTTTGTATCCAAATCCGGCTTTAAACTTCTCCACAACAGTATCTCGGACCTGCCTGGTGTGTTCCTTGTTCTTCATGATGCTCTCTGCGCTTTAAACGGACCTCTGAGACTATCACAGTGCAGGTGCATTTATACGGAGACTTGATTACACACAGGTGGATTCTATTTATCATCATTAGTCATTTAGGTCAACATTGGATCATTCAGAGATCCTCACTGAACTTCTGGAGAGAGTTTGCTGCACTGAAAGTAAAGGGGCTGAATAATTTTGCACGCCCAATTATTCAGTTTTTTATTTGTTAAAAAAGTTTGAAATATCCAATAAATTTCGTTCCACTTCATGATTGTGTCCCACTTGTTGTTGATTCTTCACAAAAAATTACAGTTTTATATCTTTATGTTTGAAGCCTGAAATGTGGCAAAAGGTCGCAAAGTTCAAGGGGGCCGAATACTTTCGCAAGGCACTGTATAAAGCACTTGAACACAGCCGAGGCCAACAAAGTGCTTAACATAAGATACAATTCAAAACATCTAAAAACGTGACAACTACAATATTAAAATACCAATAAAATAACATAAAAGAACCAACATAGCAAAATAACAAAATACTATCAACCAAAACTCAGCCCAAACAGAGTCTCATAGCATATCAAACGCCAAAGCATACAAGTGAGTCTTCAAGTAAGTTTTAAAAATAGCCAACGAGGCGGCCTGCCTGATGTAAAGGGGCAGCGCATTCCATAGCTTAGGAGCCACAATGGAAAACGCTCTGTCCCCTCTGAGTTTACGCCTGGCCCACGGTACCTCAAGCAAGAGCAATATGTATCCATGTAGTAATACTGCTTGCAAACCAATGATGATAAGATGATGTTAGGGGGTAGGACTAGATAAGTCTAACTTCTTCCTACTCCGTTCAAGCATGTACTAGGTATAAGCAAACTGAAAATATATTTGTGAAATTGTGTGGATTTATGTGTGTTGACATATTGAATGTTGTTACATGTTTGAAAGAATAAATCAAATCAAAGTGTTCTCTTACTGCAGTGTATTTCTATGTGCGTGCATGCATTTAAACATTTGTGTCTGTAGTGCCCAGGAAACATTCCTTCAGTGGGACCAGTGCCGGAGGGTCTACAACTTTTTGTTGGCAGACAAAATGAAGCAGCTCATCCTGTCACACAGGTGGAAAGACACAGCAGCATTAACAGTTACATACTGTGTTCATTCATTATGACAGTGTCGCTGATCAATCATAAAGTGTACCATTGATTTACCATTTTGCTTTACCAGCAAACAAGAAATTAGCTTCCTGCCCTGATTTGTCCAAATGTGCTTGTCAACAGGAGCAGTTTGTTGGGCATGAACTCCAGTAACATTGGTGATGCAGACCTGAGCAGACTGTATACAGCCACGTCTCTGATGCAGATCGATGAAAACGTCATGAGGTGACACTTTGCTGGACTTTAATTAGGCTTCAAACTCTAGAAATGATCTCTATCACTCATGTCATCACATGATTTGTTCTGCAGAAAATTCCATGGCTACAGCTCTGTGAAGGAGTACTATGAGAAGGAGAGCTGTGTGCACTATATTCACAAAGTAAGTGACAAGTATTTACAACGGAAGCAATTTGATATACTTTTCATTTTATTTCTGCTACTATTAGTACTACTGTCTTACCAGTACTACTGTTACTACTACAACTTCCACTTCTACTACTTCTGCTGCTCCTTATATGACTAAATTACAGTATCTTTAACTAAGATTTGTACCACTCTACTACTTTTCTGCTATTAGATCTACTACTACTAATAATGCAGCTCTGTACAACTGCTACTGTGAGGCTGTATCTGTTTCTAATTACTACTGCACCTACTTCAGTAGGTGTTAACAAACTGTTTT